CATGCCTGTTATTTAAAAAAAAATTCAAAATAATGGCAGCTTGTGTAAACATGGAGTAGCTATTTTGAGATACCTCTGGTATCCCCAAATAGCCATGCTGTGTAGACGTACCCTTAGTTCCTAGGTACTGTGAAGATGGGCATCCTAGAAATATTTTAGAAACATAAAGGCTATGTTTTGATGTAGTGAACAGTGGTGGCCACAGACACTGATTGCAGTTCCTTGATCTTCAGCCAGTCAACTCTGACAGAAGTTAAAGAACCAAGAGCCTGTCCTACCGTCACCTTTTGCAGATCTGTTAATGGACCTTCTGGCAGCAGGGGATTAGAATCATAGAATACTAGAACTGGAAGGGACCTCGAGAGGTTATCAAGTCCAGTTCCATGCCCTCACGCTAGGACCAAGCACCATTCTAGATCGTTCCTGATAGATGTCTATCCAACCTGCTTTTAAATATCTCCAGTGATGGAGATTCCACTACTTCCCAAAGCAATTTATCCCAGTGTTTAACCACTTTGACAGCTAAAGGAGTTTTTCCTCATGTCCAACCTTGCTACAATTTAAGTCCATTGCTTCTTGTCCTATCATCAGGCCAAGGAAAACAATTTTTCTCTGTCCTCCTGACTATGAACCGTTAATAACTATTCTCTGAGAATGGTTATCCAGCCAGTTATGCACCCATCTTATAGTAGACCCATCTATGTTGTATTTCTCTGCTTTATTGATAAGAAGGTCATGCGAGACCATATCAAATGCTTTACTAAAGTCTAGGTATACCATGCCCACTGCTTCTCCCTTGTCCACAACACTTATTATCCTACCAAAGAAAGCGATCAGATTGGTTTGACATGATTTGTTCTTTACAAATCCATGCTGGCTGTTACCTATCACCTTATTATCTTCCAGATGTTTGCAGATGAATTCCTTTATTATCTGCTCCATTATCTTTCCTGGTACAGAAGTTAAACTGACTATTCAGTGGTTTCCTAGGTTGTTGTTGTTTTCCTTTTTATAGATGGGCGTGATATTTGCCCTTCTCCAGTCTTCTGGCATCTCTCCTGATGTCCATGACATTTCAAATATAATGGCTAAAGGCTCAGATACCTCCTCTATCAGCTCCTTGAGTATTCTAGGATTCATGTAATCAGGCCCTGGTGACTTGAAGACTTCTAATTTTTCTAAGTAATGTTTAACTTTTTTTAAATTTTAACTTCCAAACCTAGCCCATTTCCACTAGCATTCACTATGTTAGGCATCCTGTCACCATCCATCTTGGTAAAAACAGACACAGACATCATTAAGCACCTCTGCCATTTCCAGGTTTTCTGTTATTGTTATTGATTCCTTCGCACAGACATATTAAGGATCCACTTTACCATGCCCCTTCCTGCCTATGTGGTACAAAGCAGTATAGCAGATTGGAAAATATAAAGTGTGCCAGTGTGTGTTTGTTTTAAAGTTAAATGCTTGATAAATAAAATGGCATTGCTTGTGAGCTTGTAATTACAGTGAAAGTAAATGGAAATTCCAGAAAGTATATTTGTGAAATTCATCTCTGAAAATTACTGTGCAAATTATTGTAACAGTCACTATCTTGAGACCGAGTGAGCCTGTGCTGTACACAGTGTTAGCACTTCTTGCTTCCTAAATTCTTTCTCTCTAATGGTCTTTCAAGGCAACCAAGCCAATTTCCTCTTATTTAAATGATCTCTCAGTGATGTTTAAGTGCTCATCTGTAGGATTCGGTTACAGACAGGATTTCAAAGGATACTTTGGAAAAAGTAATTGAGCCGAGTGAAGGTTGATAATTTTTGAGAGAAGAAAACAATTTGTTTAGAAAAATTGAAAGGGGCTGGGACTCAAGATGGGGACAGAGGTCTACATTAGGGAATCCTTGGTTTGTATTTTGTAATGCATATGTTTGTTTGTTCTTTTTCTTGTTTTTACTCTTGTAATTTCCCCATTCTCATTGTCAAATTAAGCTGTTTGTTTTTCTGAAACTCTGCAACATTTCACTTGTTCAAGCTATTTTTAAAAAAGTCTTTATAAGGAAAGCAGTTATCAGGCCTCATTTAAAAGAAAATATTACAAATATATTTGCTCGAGCTCTAAGGGAAATAGTTTAATGGTAAACTAGTGTTTGTCTTAACTGAGATCAAAATTACCCTTCTGTAATTATTTTTTATAGAAGTGCAAATAAACTGCTCTTATCTTGACAATGCCATTCACACTGCTAATGCCCAAAATGAATACAGTACAGAAACAGGTTTGCTGAATTCAGCACAAAATATGCACAGCTTTTTGAGCCATAGACGTACTGAAAAAATATAGGCTAGATTGTGCACCTGGTGATCATTTTGGCCAGCAATTATTGACATTGATGGGGCTACTTATGTGAATAAATACTCACCAACAAGAGGAAATATTTCATAATTGAACCCAATCAATGTTTGCTCTCTATCGGTCTGACATCTTCAATAAAAAATTGACTGACAATTGAGGAGGAAGAAATTACATAAAAACTTGAAAAACAGTGCAATGCTTGTTTTAAAAATAATGATGGATTTGTCTGACTGTTGTGGGGCTTAATTTGAGAATTTAAGTGGTGGATTTGGTTATTTTGTAATATAATGAACAGAAGATATAATTATATGTACATTCCTTAATACTCAAAACACATTTTCAATTGATGGGATTCATTACTCTTTAATTCCCATAGACATTTGGGATTTACTGGTGTGTCTATTCCCCAAAAGCAGTATTTTAGTTGCTGTGGTTGAACATTGGCTGAAAGTGAATTTCAATTCTATTTGGGATAATGAAATTCTCTATTCAAGTGTGTTTGTTGGCTAGTTGCATTTATCAAGGAACATAAATGGTGCTACATGACATATGTAACTAGCCAACACAGAACAAATTGCATATATTCATAGTAAATGATTTACAGATTGTGCATACCAAGAATTCTGCACTGAAGAAATCTAGAAATTTTGAATACATTTGAGAATTTGGTCATCAGCTCCAACAATTAATAAGCAAGAAAAAGGCAACATATTACTAAAGCACATTTGTTACACATTATTTTCTCAGCTCTGCTAGTGAAGGGATGCAAACAGTTATGGCAGGGCATCATTTTTAGCATTCATTTTTAAGACATAGACTGTAGGAAAAACAAATTATTTTTCAGTAGCCATTAGTTTCCACTTAAAGGATTGTACTATATTTAAGAGAAGCTCAGCCTTCAGAATAATTTAAGGGAGACCTTTTAAAACACGGTTAACATTTTTATTAACATGGTTAACATTTGGATTTGATTATGTATTCAGGCAGTCAAGAAATAGCAGAGATCTACCACAAAGTCTAGTGGGAGTTAAGAATTCCATTATGAGGAGCTACACACAGCAAGAGCAATAAATTGTGGCAGTTTAATATTACATGGAGCAACAGGCTTAAAAAGTATGCAGCAGAGAGAGGGAGAGATGGAGAACAAGCAGCAAAAGCATGTCAGGTTGCTCAAAAAAATCTAATTCTAAATAAGGCTCTCTTGTTTGGGAATAATAATTAAACACGTAGATTTAATCAGGAATAGTTAAATTCACATCTTATTTTTTATTAATTTTCATGCATAAACAAACCCTATCTGGAATGATAACGCTAAAGCACAATAATGTCAGTTTAAAGTTAGCATTTAAAGCAAACTATTCAATTACTGATCTTCTTCCCAGATGGATTAGGGAAGGCAATTGGAATGAAATCCAACTGGGAAGGTGTGTTAAGGAGGAATTGGGAATTTCTGTGGAGAAGGAAGAAAAAAGGGGGGAAGGCAAAGACCAAAAAAAAAAGGAGACTAGGGAAGGAAGAGGGGAAAAAAAGGACAAAAATAGCAGTCGGTCCTAAAGATAATATGCTTTCCCTGCGTGGAGCTAAGTGTAATATGGAGATTAACAAATGATTACAACTATGATAAACTAATAGTTTAGTTATCGCTTAAATCTATGTTCTATCCTTGATCTATGTGCAAGCCTCCCATTCATATCAATTGGAGCTATGCTGTGGATTGAGGAGATTATGCAGTTCTAACTATCTGATACCGAGGAGCTAAAACATACTTCAATATGCCATAAAGATTCAAAATGTGTTCAATATAGGCCATATAACTAATGAAGAATGCATTGATTATATGTCATTTTTTTCTCTGAAGTATGGCATGGAGCATTGTAAAAACTTTTGTTGATTGTTTCTTGTTAAATAAATTGTATCTAACATAAATTAATGGTTTCCTGTCGCCCTTCATGCTCTCTGCCCAATAGATGAATTTGTCATATTCTTAATATACATTCTTTCATACTAGTTAGATTTTTTTCATGGTGCAAATATTCTTTTGTAAGAAAAGTTAGTTCATAAGCTACAGTGCTAGCATATAAATATAATAATTGTGAAAGAAAAGCTAGTTATATAATTACAACCAATTATTGAATATATTTTTGATTAGACAACTCACGTTTCATTGAAATGAAACTACAATACTTTACTAGATTATATGTATGGAGAAAATAAAATGAAACCACCTTTTATAGAAAAAATAAAGATTAAAGCACAGTTGAAATGATATAGCCTGAGCAATGAACTCATTAAATATAAGCAATTAAGGATTTTTTTTTTTTGCACAAAAGTTATCCAATAGTTTCATGTGGCATGGTTTATTTTATCAGCATCGGCAATATATGCAGCGAGATTACTAAATGTTTGCAAGGTTTTAAAAGTGAACACATATTTCAGCAAACTCTTAAATGGAGAGTTCTTAGTTCCTGAGATTTTTAGTTTAATGGTAAATTGTAAAATCTGGGAAAATTTAAGTATGTGCACGATCTCCCTTAACAAGCATTATGTGTGATATAACTAATTTTACATGTAATATAATTTCTAAATACCTCTTTTAAAAGTGACTCCCAAACTCCCAGTTTTCAAGTAAGAAACTGATGTAGACTTTTTCTTTGCAGAGTGGGAATCAACTTTATAAACATCAGCCACCTGTCTAGAATCCCTGAAAGCCTAGATGCACCATTTAGTAAATGCTGAAGTTGTAACAGATTCTGTCCAAATTGTGAGTTCAGTCTTCATCTTTCAAAATTAAGGAGAATTATTCATTTTCTGTTCAAAATTCCTAAACAAGAACAGCAAGGGTTAAAAAAACCATGATTCACAGTTGTGAGGCTCTCTATTTTAAGTGCCAATAATGTGAATCTAGAGTTCTGTTGCCATTCAAATTGAGCCATATAATCCAAAATAAAGTTTCAGTTAGTTCATGTAGACACTAAGGAAGGCCGTGTTTACACTACAGATAAGATCGAAGCAGGCACATTTGATCTTCTGGGGTTTGAATTAGCGGGTCTAGTGAAGACATGCTAATTTGAACTGAGAGGGTGCTCCTTCTATGAGAAATAAGGGAAGTCGAAGGGAGAGTGTGCTCCCTTTCACTTCCCGCAGGATGGACAGTGCCAAATGGCCGATGTTAAAATACTTTAACTTAAGCTATGCAATTAATGTAGCAAAGTTGTGTATCTTAGTTCAAAATTATCCCCTAATGTAGGCCAGGAGCAAGAAATATCATAAAATGACAAATCATGGGAGCCAATTTCTAGATAAAATAGGTCAGAAAATACTAAATGATCAGTGTAAAAGATATTAGGTAAACATAGTGACAGGCAAATGAGTTCATATAAGTATTTTACATGGGCATAAACTATGGAACGTTTCAGCATCACACTAGTATTTTCATACTTTGTTTTACACTTGAGTGCCTTATGGCACATAGGAGTTTCCAGGCCTAGCGTATGGCAGTTTTTTGGCTTGATAGCTTTTATCTGTTCCTAAGTGGCTTGTTTGATCTAAGACAAACTGCTGTGTTAGGTCTGCCAGAATTTGCTGATTTGCTACTCTGTTTAAAAAAAAAAAAAAAAAAAGAAGTTGGACAGCGTAAGCGACTGTTAAGTGACTGGAGTTATGACAATTCTATAGATAACAATGAAGTGACTAATGTTCACAGTTACATAATGGGATGAATAATTGAGTTTTAGTTTTGGCTCTTGGTTTACTGATCTGGACACCAAAGCTGGGCAACAATTAGTGCTTAGATTTTAGCTTACCATGATCAGCCCGGTCTCACTTGCTGTATGACTCATTCCCACCTTTTACCAATTATAAGGAGGCTAATTATTTTGTAAGCAAGATGCAAGCTGCTTGTAGCTGTTGCTGATGTGTATCATAATAATCCACATTAGATTTATCTTTCATCTGACAATAAAGGTAATCATTCTATCAGTTGCTATAAAAGGGATTTCAAGAGTATGACGAGTGAATGTATTGTGCTAGCTGTCATCATCAAATTGTAGATAAGTAATCTGTTTACTTAGAAGGTCTGCCTTGAAAAAGGGGGTCCATAGGTAGGTAAAAGCTGTCATGACAATAATTTAACTATTTGTCCTATTTACATTATATTTGAAGGGGAAATGTAGAGTGAATTTTCAGATGCAGACCCTAAATTTATATACCCAATTTTCTGATTGAACAACCCCTTTCCCTTGTTAAGCATCTAACTATAAATATTGTTTATGCACATTTGCAAGTATCTGCACAAAGTAATTTAGAGGCCAGCTGAAGATATTTTAAAAATTTAGTCCTTAAACTTAGTATAGCTAGCAGCTATTCAGCTGTGGTGCAGTGTTGTGTTAAAAATGAATTCAAAACAAGACTAAAACTCTGACTCTGTTCCACAGAAGATCAAAGTTTTAGTCATCTCTATGGAATCCATCCAATGTGGTTGACACTTGAAGTTTAATGGAGTGTGTATTTCAAATAAAGAATTGTTTAAAACCGAAGTGGTTTTATTTGAAATGAACTTGTGATGATTGGAACAAGTTTTTATCAGTTTGACTCATGATTGCTTACAAAGAGCTGTGTAAGGAGACCAGATGGTACCTAATGATAGTGCTGGATTTCCTGTAAGACAGATGCAGATTCAGAGACAGAGTGAAAAGATGCTGTTTGTTAATATCAAAGCCAGTCCTCTGTCCTTGCATAGGCAAAATACCCCGAGACTTGAATTGGAGTTTTGTGTAAAGCAGATGTGAGAGTAGCAGGATTGGGCCCACAGAAACCAAAACAAAGAAGCAATTAACAAGAGAGTAAGGCTAGTGTACACTGTCAGGTTATTTCAAAATAATAACTCCCAAAATTACTATTTTGAAATAAGCTTATCCTTCTTCACTAGGAGGAGTTATTATTTTGAGATATCAAGCCCATTATTTTGAATAACAGGCTTGGTAATGTGGATTCGCCTTGTTATTTCAAAATAAGGGGAGTTATTTTGAATAACTTCCCAGTGTAGACATTCACTAGGAGATTAATTTTATTACTTTTGTAAATGCACAGCCTAGTGGGCCATCCTTCTATAATCACTAAGAATAAAAATCAGGAGCTTGTGTATAGCTTCAGTATAACTTATTTCATATTGTTTCCTATTCAAAATAATGCTCACTATATAACAGTATAATAATACTGTTATATTATAAAATTACCTTTATTGACAGTATCAAGCTGGAATAAATTTGTGTCAAAGCCTATTGACAGTGCTTTAGTCTATAGTGGTGCAAACAGTTTCCTTATGAAATGTTTAGTACCAAATTCTGAGAAACAGACATGTTTCAATTTCAGTATAATCTGTATTATAAAGAATAGATAAGAATGCCTGTATGGTGCCGAACACCATAAACTCTTATTGACTTAAATATCCAATAGAAAGTGAAGGCACTCGGCACCTCCTAATGCTGACACATTTAGATCTTGCTTATGACATTGCTTTTTGAGAATCGGAAAACAAAAGAGCAGATCTTTAAATACAAACATTTTGTAATAGTAAAAAGGATGTGTTTGAAGCTATTTAGGTTATTTATGTTATCATAAGATTAAAGGGAAATAAACTACCTTTATTAAAATACTAGCAATTATTTAATTTTAAAAAAAAGTTATACAGCAGAAAATGCATATTGTCATGCATGTTAATTATCACCATAAACTTCATATTTTTCTACTTCTATTACTTAGAACTAAAAGGCAATTAATTACTCCACATTTTTTAAGGATAGACCAAGGTAGCAATTAACAAATGGATCAACCTTTCAATTAAGTAGCATTTTAAAGTGTTATTTTCTGGGATAGCTCAGTAATTGTGTTAATTGCTTCCACATGCTCAGGTTTATAATATTAGCTTTTGAATTTAACATTCTCTTGGTGATTGCATGAAGTTATATTTTTACTGTAGATTTTTATCAAAATCCTTATTTAAAAAATGTAAAATCTGAAAATATGTTGATCTGAATAGATTAATTCCCTTTTTATTGAGCTGATCTGTTTATAATCTTTGGACAGTTATTAAATATTTTTCTATAACTTAGGAAAAATTGAAGCTGCAAGGAAAAGTATTACTTTGCAGTTTAGAGCAAAATCAAAATATATGGGTAAAATATTCATTTTCTTTACTGATGGATCAGTACATTGCCATTTGAAACCCATGCTTTCAGGGGAAGAAACAAATATCAAAACACTGGAAAAATGCAGTGAAAAGTATGTTGAACATAAAATGTCAAATGTAGCTTGTATAAATAAATATTTTGTTTCTTGAAGTCAGGATTTCCCTATAAACGTTGCTTCTGCTTAGAAGTGTTGACATTAAGAACAGTATTGAATAACACAACAGAAACTGCATATGTTTAATTTTTGTCAATTCATGCACATATTTTTAGAGTAGAAAATATTTAAGGAAATTAGAAAATATACAGGAATTATCTCCCTCATGGGGTACAGTCCTTGGTATTCTCAAACTGTTAGATATAATTCATTTGACTCAGGGAAAATGAAATAGAAGTCCAAACTACTCTGACTTGCATGTAATTTGTAAGTTGATCTCTGTTATAAAATCCTGGGGGCTTATATAAATGTATTTATAAATGAATTTGCTTTCAATTTTCACTTTTTATGATGTAATCTTGAATCATAAAACCTCAGACTCAAGATATCTGAACAGGGAAGCAGAAATATCAGTAGTGGTGAAATCTAAAGGAATACAAAGAACAGCTTTTGAATAAAAAAGTCTAAGGACAATGCTGATGGTGTTGCTGGAAAAAAAATGTGAAAGCTACATGCTTTTGTTGGACAGCTGAAATAGATGAACACTAAAGTATTTTATGATTGGCTGCTGTTCTAAATGCAGCCAAACTTTTACTGTTCAGCATTGTTGCCGAAGTTATCTGCAAGCCCAAGTTTCTGTAATTAAATCCTGGAAGGCCCCTTGGGTGGCTAGCACTGACTGGTGTATTATTATTCAACAGAAACAAGCATCATGTTTCATAGATGGCATATCAGTCTCTTTACCCAATAATTTTTTAACAGTTGTTCTTTCTTAAAAAATAAACTGTATTGAAAACATGTAGAAATTCTTGTGCTTGAAAGCCACTGTATATTATTAACTGATTAACTAGATTAAACTGAAAGTGTCTGCAGCCTTGCAACCCCATTAACTCTTGGATCTGTAGCCAGCATGCCAACTTATTCAGAAGAAAGGCTGGATCTTCCTCTACAAATTGGCAAATTCTCTGCCTTAAAATTGAAGCCTTGTGTTAGACTGGCTCTAGGTATTGTACCTATGGGATTGTTTCTTCCTCTGCAGTCATTATCTCCAATAACAGTTATATTTAATTTGAATAATGAAAGTGCTGAGGAACTGAGGGAGGCCAGGGCATATAGGAGACAGAACTTTCCCAGGTACCCAAAATGCACTATAAATAAGAGTGGCCATAGACATCACCACTTTCATAGCTGACCTAATTTCTTCAATAGTGATAGAGATGCAGCCGTGTTAGTCTGGTCTAGCTGAAACAAAAGACAGGACTATGCAGCACTTTAAAGACTAACAAGATGGTTTATTAGGTGATGAGCTTTCGTGGGCCAGACCCACTTCCTCAGATCAGTATGTGGAAGAAAATTGGCACAACCATATACTGTATACCAAAGTGATACAATAATAAAAAGTGAACAGATATAAAATTG